TTACCAGTGTGGGTTGCAGTAATTGCTAAATTACAGAGCTCCAGCTTTATTAGACACACACCCCCTCAGCCTCCCCGGTTTTCAAAGGCTGCCTGGAGCTGACAAAAGCCAAAAAGCTCTGCGGAAAGTCTGGCGTGGAGCTTTGGGTGAGGCTAGGGCGCAGAGACCCGGCGAATTCCCCTGGAGGAACAAAGCCGCGTGCACGTGGGGGGTTTGGAGCTGGGAGGGCAGTGTTTTTCAAATAGGCAGAAGCAGCGCTGCCCGTGGTGGCCGGTGGATTTGGGTCCTGAGGGTTCCTCCGGGGTCTTTGGAGGCGGCCCCTGATCAGGCTCCTCCCCCTTGTTAGCTTTGCTGTCTGCAGCTGTAACGATTAAAGCTTCAAGCAGGTGTTGGTCCTTGCAAATCCCCTCCCTCCCTCCCTCCCTGCACGCAGGCGTCACCCTGTCCGAAAGCGCTGGCCCCGCACACACCCGAGGGCCTCCTCACGTGCCAGCTACACGCGGGCCTGTGCCACCTGTTCCGTGTACACACACATCACGTTTCATGCTGGCCTCTCCTGAGCACCTGAGGAAAGACCCGCCCCCCGCCCCCCCTCCCCCGTGAAGCACCTGAAGTGAGAGGTGAAGCGTTGAAGCCCAGACCCAACTCAGCTGTGCGTTGGCTGGCTCAGCCCCTCCCATGAACAGCCAGAGGGAGGCGGCGGCCTGCTCTTTCCAGGGGAAACATCCGTATTTTACACTGTTTCTCTACACCTGACATCTCAGGGACACTAATAAAATTGTACAACACGTAAAAAAGCAGGAAAGTGTGACCCACAATCAAGAGAAAAATTATGAATAGAAGTAGACCCACGGGCGGCCGAGAGGTTGGAATTATTAGCCAGGACTTCACGTTAATTCTACTGACGACAATGACAAGGCCCAGCGGGAAGGCCCAGCGGGAAGGCCCAGCGGCCCGTGCGGGCAGGCGCCGGCAGCGGAAGTGCTGCAGAAGGGGCTGCAGACGCCCAGCTGCTCCTTGGAGGTCGGCTCTGCCCTGAGCCTCCGGTCTTGTTCCTGTTGGCTCCTGGGCAGAGGAGTTGAGGCCCCAGCAGGGCCTTTCCCTGCATTTCAGCTTCCGGACGCTGATGGGGACAGCGGTGGTGGCGGCGGCGGCGCGGCGCAGGGCGGCCGACGTCTGTGGAGCTGTCCATCGAAACAGCCCTGGGTGTTAGGCAGTTACCACCACTTCACACTTGGGGAAACTGAGTCATGGACCGAGGTCAGGCCCCCCGTTCAAAGCCGCCCGGCTGGCAGGTGGAAGACCCGGGATTCAAAGGCAGCTCCCGAGAACACTGCCCTTCGATGGCCTTTGCAAATGAACACAGTCCAAGGGCCTGCAGAGCACTGAGCAGGGCGGCGGGGAAGGGGCGTACGCATTGCCTGACGACGTCGGCCGCTAGGGAAGTAAAGCGGAGCTGAGAAAACTCCGGGGGCCGCGAGCTCCAAGTCTCCCCGCTCCTCGCTCCTCAGGCCCTCTTCCGGCTGAGGCAGAACAGACTGCAGGGCGTTTGCCGACGGCCGGCCCGGGCTCTTTTTTCTTTGAGCACTTGGATGTGCCCCGGTGGCTGTCTCTGGTTTTCATCACTGGGTTTCGCAAGGCCGGGTGTTGTGATGCCGGTTGGGTCAGCGCTGCCAGCGTGTCCGCCGAGGGCTCCTCTCCCAGCTGCTCCCCTGCAGTGTCCGCGTCCCTCTGCCCGGTGCGGCCGGTCCCAGCCCTCGCCGCCCAGGAGGCGGCCCCCACCCGAGGGCCACCAGGGCCCTGCCGCGTGCTCCCTATACCTGGGCTGCGGGGGCGCGCATGTACTGGAGTCTCCCGTGTGGGGAGATTCCCACACTCTCCCCACTCTGAGACCACACTTGAGGGGCCGCGATCCGGCTGGGTCCCACCCAGGGAGGCTGGCAGCACAGAACAGCTGCCCGAGCAACGCCAGGGCCCAGGCCCCTCCTCCACGCTGCCGCAGGCCCGCAGCCTGTTTCCCCGCCCGTGCGGTGGACTCGCCCGCCTCTGATGTGCCCTCTTCAGAGGGACCGGTGGGTGAGAATCTTTGTAAACCGAGCCCCAGAGTCAGGGCTCCTTGTTCCAGGGCACCAGGACAAGTCCAAGCAGGAGGCCACTTGCTGGGGCCCAGCACGGGACCAGCGTCTGGGCAGAATCCGGATTCTGAGCCGTGTGCACCTTGGCCGGGGGCAAGGACCGCCCCCCAACACACCGCCCGGCTTCCCCGAGTGCCTGGGCCTGGACGGAGCTCCAGCCCTGCACGTGGCCGGGTCCTGCAGCGACTCTCTTCCTGGGACGGACTCTGCAGAAGTTTCTCGGGGCGGGGGGGGGAGACGGAGAGACCGCGGCAGGATGGGGGCGGCCCCCTGCAGGGGGTGAACGGGGCGGGGGCTGGGGACCGCAGTGGTGGGACAGAGGCACAGTGCCTCCCGACTCCTCCGCTGCACCCACCGGGGTCTGCATGGCTCCCACCCTTCCCGGCCTCCTCTCCCAGGACCCCCAAACCAAATAGAGCAGTAGAAAAGCAGTGTGAGAATGATAATCAACACCCTGCCTCGGTTGGTGCAGAGAGGGCGGCCGGGGTGTTCCACTCCTCTGTGACGGTGTTTTCCTGGCATTTTCCGCAGTCTACGTTGTACATGCTACTTTTGTCGTTAGAAAGTTGTGATTAAAACAGGAGGGGGGAGGGGGACATCCTCAGTCAGGATCCAAAAGGAGCCCACTGTCGGCCCGCGCCCATCGGGCTTCCTCCCAAGTGGAACCCATGCACCATGGGTCCTCGCCCACGGCGGGGACACGCACAGGCAGGGGCTCGGAAAGTCCGAGGCTGCCCTGTGGCTCTATTTTCCTGGCTAATTTGAATCTGCAGCCGAGCCGGGGAGGCGCCCTTGGGAAGCCGGCCTCCCACAGGTGCAGAGAAGAGCGAGCCCGTGGGGCTGCCTTGGAATCCCAGTCTCCTCGGAACCCAGTTCTCTGCGAGTACGTGAAACTGGCACGAAGTTATTGTCAACACTGACCAGGTCAGGGCTCCAATCCAATGGCTTTCAACTTCCAAGGAACCCCTAACAGAGGAGCTCCCTGAGGGAACCTTTCAAATGCTGGTTTAAAGGGCAGTTTGCTGCACCTTAAATGACAGTGGGCTGTCACTTTTCCACCGTTCTCACAAATGAGTGCCTCTCAGCCCCCGCAGGAGGTGGGACCGCCCCCGGCACCCCGGCGCCCCGGCCCGGGCTCTCGCCAGGAGACCCGCAAAGACCTCCACTCCGGAGTCCCCCCGGTTTGCATTTGGAACATTTATTTCAGGAAATACATTTTCAACACTTTGTTATTTATACAAAAAGAAACGAATTTCTCAGGAGGCACATAGCAAAAGGCCACTGCGGAACACATCCCCGTGAAACTAATGATTTTTCTGGCTACAGTGAAGGGAAGCGAAGGCGTCCCGGGGCCCAGCAGCACGGGGCCGGCAGGGCGTGCCCACCGTGGGGTCGGGGGAGGGGGGGGCCCACGCTCCGGGCCCCAGCGCTGGAGGTGGGCACGCCCTGCAAAGTCATGGTTTTGGCAAAAACTTGGCAAGTCGGCAAGTAAACTGTTTGCTAAGGGGTCCTTCCTCTGGTGGGTGGGGAGTAAACGTGCAACGTGCCGACACTCCTGTGTGTGCATACGCACACCCCTCAGGCACACTTGCAGCCCCAGGTCTGCCTGCACCCCGCTTCTGCCACTGCTCTTCCCATCGGCTGCAAGGAGCACCCCTGTGGCCCACCCGTGTCTCATCTCTCCCGGAGGCAGGGGGTCGGGGAGCATGAGGGGCCAGCGCGCCGTGCAGAGGTGGGCGACCCCGCCCCGCAGCCGGCTGTGGGCTCTGCAACCTGGCCCCTGACCTTCCTCTCTCTGGGGGTCTTTACCATGGGCCCTGGGGTGCAGGGACCCAGGCCCACTCAGGGCAACAGGAGGTCAGGCTCACCCGGCTGCCGGTCTCCGCAGGCCACAGAGCAGCCAGGGCCAGGCCGGGAGGGCTGGGTGTGTGGCTGGGCCTGAATTTAACCAGAGCGTCTCGGGCCCAGCAGATGTCCAGACACACAGACACACACACACGCGCGCACACAGTCACACGGGGCAGGCACCAAGGCCCCTCGGGCTACTCTGACACCCAGCCATGGCCCACGCAGCCCCCCGCCCCCACCCCCTTCAGGCACCTGCCAGCCCTTCCTCACCCGACTCACTTGCTCAGACCTTCCCAAAATTCAGGGGGTGGGGTCGGGTGGGGTGCATATCTTCTCTTCCTTTGACTCCTCAATCAAACCCCAGTGCTAGGGGGTGACGGGGAGATATGGACACACTCCCCCTCCCACCTGCCCCCACTGCCCGTCTGAGGGGACAGCTGGGGCCCGTGGACTCGAGCGAACAGCTGAGATAAAGGCACTTTCTGATCCAGGCGAGCTCGCAGGTGGGTGGGTGGGTGGCAGCCAACGGGCCTCGCCACATCTACGCAATTGGCAACCTGCGTCTCATGGAATTAACTATTCTCCCCTGGGGCGGGGGGGACGAGGGGTTCGAGGGGGCTCTCTGAGTTATGTGGTCTGAGTCATGGCCCACACTATGCAGGGGGTGGAGTCAGAAAGGGGCTCCAGGTGCCCCCGGCTGGCTCCATGCCGCCCGGGCACAGCCCCGCGCGTTCCAGGGGCCGAGGCCATGGGGGTGCGGGAGGCACCGAGCGCAGGAGGCTGCTCCTCCAGCCCCCAAGCTGGGCCTGGGGCTGGGGCAGGTTCGGACCCAGCAGGGCCTCGCCCCTGACCCGGGCCGCGGTCCAGCCTCTCCTGGACCTCAGGCAGGGCCAGTAACAATCATACTCGGGGAGTCATTAGCTTGTCCTCGGCAGGTGGAAAGGGGCGGAGAACGACGACAAATGGAGAAAATGATATGAAAGAAGATGGGGCGGGCGGGCGGGGGCAGAGGGGCGGGCTGGGGGCTGGGTCCGGGGGCAGGGCAGGTCTACATCTCCTGGGCTCCGGGCTCCTGGTCCTCCACGCCGTTGGACACGCTGCTCTCATGCAGGCGTTTCACGCGGTAGGCTTCGAAGTGGATGCTGCTGGTGATGTCCTTGATGTTCTGCATGTGCGTCCTGGGGGCGCGGGCGCGGGCGGGGTGAGTGGCGGGTGCAGGCCCTGCCCGGCCTGGCCCAGGGCGCCTGCCGTTGCCCTCCCCACCCCAACCCCACTGCTTGGCTCCCGCCGTGGGCGATTCAGGCCCAAGTGCAACCGGGCCTGGCCGTGGTGGGGGGCAGAACCACGGGGACCCCAGACCCTCTCAGGACGCCTGTGTTTTGGCGTGTCCCCTTTCTCTGTGTCACGCCTCTGGCCAGTCCAGGGATGGGGGCTGGGCGCAGATGCCAGGGTGGGCAGGGCTAGAGTGTCCTCCCTCCACTTGAGAGGTGCCAGGCGGCGGCCGGGGGTGCTCGCAGGTAAGGGGCAGCGGGCGGCCACCGCCCAGGGCGGGCGCTGGTCACCCTACCAGTCCCGGGCTCAGACTCCCTCCTGCCACCAGCAGGACAGATCAGGGCAGGTGTGGCAAGGAGGTCGGAAGGGCCTGGGGCGGGCGTCCTTCCTCAGCCAGGCTCTCTGACACGTGTCCCCAAGCCAGAGGCCCCGAGAGATCCCTTGTCCCTCCTGACTTTGTCCCTAACATCCATCCGCCCGCTGGCTGAGAAGCGGGAGCCCTGGGTGCTCTCCATCCCACCCCCCGCGCCCTCTCCTGGGTGGAGGACGGGCTATATTCCTTGTCTGCGCTCGAGGACGCCAAGGGGAAGATCAGCCAGGTCGAAGGGGCGGGATGGGAGCTGGGGACCCCCCAGGGCCCGGCACTGTAGGCTCCTGGGGCCCTGGGTCTACCAGCTCTCAGTGACCGGAACGCAGACCTTCCCACCCAGGGGCTTGGGGGGGGAAAAGGATTTTCCCTTCCTGCTTTATGCCCAAGAAGGAGTGTTTCCCAAGAACGGGAGAAGGGCAAACTGCGCTCCCGAGGTCCGCCCAGGGGAGGGCAGGCAGGTGGTAGGACTGGGGTCCCAGACCCCCGCCCTCCGCACAGCCCCCGCTCTCACCTGATGAGCAGGTCCCGCAGGTAAGCAAACTCACAGTGTGTGGTGTTCTCAACTGCGGAGGAGACAGAGGGGCTTTACTGTCGCTCGAAGGCCCTCCCCCAGCCCTTCTATGCACGCCCCGCCCCCAGCAGCCCTGGTGTCAGGGGCAGGTCCGGGCAGGTGGGCAGGGAGGGGGGAGCCCCGAGCCACAGGTGAGCACGGGGCACCTCGTAGGGGCGCTGCGGCAACGGCACTGACCCAGCTCCCACTCTGCAGAAAGTTCCGGAAAGCGGGGAGATGGCACAGTAACCAGGCCAGGCGCCGCGAGAGAGAGCTACAGTAAGGGACGGACTCCCTGGCTTCTCTGGCCACCCCCCTCCCCCGCTCCCTCGCCTGGAAAACGGGGGTGATAACTGCCACCCCACTCTCGGGGGGCGTGAGAGGGCAGAAGGAGCTGCCTGTGTGCTTCCCCACACTCACCTTCCTCCTGAAAACACTTCAGGCGCTCACCAAGGATGGGAAAAATGCCCCCGGACAGTGCGGGGAAAATAAAGAAATATACGGGGTGGGGGGAACGGATGCACAAGAATGAGGCAAAAGTACTTAAATAACATGCTCGCCAAGAGCAGGCACAGAGGGGACCACTCTAAGGCGGGGCAGGAATTTTCTCCAGGGTCCCCACAAAAGGCTGCTGGGCAGTAGGAAGGGCCACCTCGCCGCCATCCTGCCAGTCCCACGGGGCTGCTGCTTTTAACGGCCCTCAGCAGGAGCCTGCGGTACCGCAGCACACCAATGGGGTCTGAACGGGGACGTCCCAGGGGAGCGAGGCACAGAAAACCAGCCTCGCGCATTCCCCAAACTCCCCAGATTCCATCACTGGCTGCGGCCGGGCCGGGCTGACCACCAGGAGGCAGCAGGGGCCTATCCCTCACCGCGCTGCCCTTCCCCGCCCCTCCGAGGTTCCCGACACCCCTTTCTTACCCCAGGGGTCTCCCCCCAAAACAGGCCTTCATAAAAAGGTTCCTAAACGGCAAGATTCCAGGAAGAGGAAGGGCCAAGACAGGCCGGACGGAGACGTCGAGGTGGACAGGGAGGCGAGCGGCCCCCCCACGACACCCCAGGGGCCGAGCCCCCGACAAGGGGGAGGTGAAGAAAGGCGATGCAGCCCGCAGGGCAGCCGTGGAAAACCCCCAGTCCCCGGGCTCGAGCCCTGCAGGTGGGCGCATGGATTCCAGAGCCTGAGGGTTTTCTGTCCCTCCTGGGGGGACAGACTCGGCTCAGAGCTCCAGGGATTTCCTGTGAGACTAGCTGGCCTGCCTGGGGCCTGCTCAACGCCTCGCAGTTTTCGCTACCATCAGCTTCTCAGCACGCTCTGCCGCACAAGCTCCCTGGCCTTTGGACATACTCTCGTTTTACCAAAACCTGGGCGCACTGCCCTTTGTGGGTGCTGGACACTGAGGCCCTGGCTCAATTTCAAAGGGCCGGGGTGGGGGATGCAGCAGGGACCCAGCCTATTCTGCTTCCTTCTCCACCGGGCCGTTCAGCCGAGGGACGGGGGACAAAGGGGCTTACCACCCGCAGTGGGTGGAACTGTGTCCCCAAGACTGCCCAACTCCCAACCCCCAGTACTTGCGAATGGGGAGTTATTTGGAAAGAGGAAGGTGGGCCGTAAAGCCAATGACTAAGGTCTTTGTAAGAGGAAGGGCAGACAGACACCCAGAAGGCTGAGCAGAGCGGAGGGGTGCGCCTACAAGCCAGGGACACCTGGCAGGGCCGCAGCCGCCAGGAGAGGGGCCTGGAAGATTCTCCCCCAAGGTTCCAGAAGGAACCAACCCTGCCCACAGCTGAATTTTGGACTTTGGGCCTCCAAAACTGTGAGAGTAAATTTCTATTGTTGGACAGCCAGTCTGTGCTAATTTGTTACAACAGCCCCAACGCACTGAGATGCGGAGGCCCTGGGAATGTTTGCAAGGGGAGGGCCACCTGGTTCTCGGAGCTGGACGGAGCCACAGCCCAGCCCTTTCCTAGGCCCAGGGAGGCGGTTCAGTTTGTCCAGGGTTGCACGGCTGCTGGACCCAGAACTCAGCGGTGCCCCGGTCTCCCTCCCTCCCTCCCTCCCTGGACGCTTCCCTGCCCACAAGAGACCCAACTGGTGGCACAGCTCTGGCCCCTGGACGTGCCACTTGGCCCCTCTCATTTCTCCAGGGGGCCCTTCCTGGTGGCTGGGGGTGGGGCAAAGCATGGGATGAGCTTCCGAGAGCGCCCCCCTCAGGCCTTGATGGGCAGCTCAGGGGGCGGGGCGGGAGAAGTGGCTTCAGTTTGCCAATCTGTGCGGGGGCGGGGGGGGGGGGGCCAGACGCCAGCTGGGAAGTTACCTTCAATGGTGCCCCATTTGGTTTTCCTGCCGAGGATCCTCTTCCCGTTCACCTGGTACTCGTGGTCACTGCCGACCACAGCGAACGGGATCATCTCCTGGGGGAGGGGGAGGGGGGCAGGCGGCAGGGGTCACGTGTGGGCCCTGGGAGGAGCTGCCAAGCTTGGGGCCCCAAAACCGAGACCTCTGGGACACTCGGGCCCCACCCCTGCCAGTCCAGAGAGCACAGGCTCCTGGCCCCGGGCCACCCCCACCCCCGGCTTCCCTCAGACCCCCTGGATGGGCAGGGAGACCTCGCACCCACACCCTCTAGCAGGACCGACGCCCAGGGCGGTTCACTCACTCGGAACTTCTCGTTCACCAGCCGGTCCTCCGCGTCCTCGTCAAACTCCTTCTGGGGGTACACGTCGATGCCGTTGGACAGCAGGTCGGCGGTGATCTGGGGGCCCAGAGGCGAGAGGTGTGGACGCCAGCCAGCGGCGAGCCGGACTGCCGGGCAGTGTCCGCCCTCTCCGTGGCCTCCAGGGCCAGGGCCCCGGCTCGGGTCAAGGGCGGGCTCGCGGGAGCGGCTGGCCTTGAAGCTCCCCAGCTCTTGAGCCTCCAGTGGAGGAGGGACAGCGGCAGACCTGCCCGCCAGGAGACCTGCAGCCGCCCGGGGACCCGAGCATCTGCCTGCCTCCCGCTCCAGCTCATCGCCCTCCGGTGGCCGAGCCCTCGCGCCCCCTGCACCGCCGCCTCCCACCCCGAACTCTCCCGGGCACCCCTCTCGCTGCGGCCCCGAGTGCCTGCACACGCCCCTCTTGCAGCCCAGCGTGCACCTGCTTGTGTTCAACTGCCACCTCCCTTCGCAGGGACAGATGCCCCACACTGAGGTCAATCGATACACCCCGCACACAGCCGTCATTTCTGCCCCGAGCACGCACAGACCCACACCCCTGCGCGGCACGGGGGCTTCTGATTCCTTTTCCCTCCACAGACACCCACTGCGGGGCAGCTGTCCGCCCCTGAGCATGCTGGGAAAAGCCCAGGCACCTGGGCCGGAGCGGGGACCTGAGCTCGGGGGTGCGGGGGAAGGGCCTCCTCCATGCTCACGCCCCGTGGGGCAGAGGCTCTGCTGGGGCCCCGCACCTGGGTTTTCGAGTTCCCAGGTGGCCCTGTTAGGAAGGAACGGCCACTTGTCCCCTGCACGGCGACTGTCCCCGAGATGGGGGCTGGCCCGTTCCAACTTTCTCTTCCACCTAATGGAAACCTGCGCGCTGGGTCTGACGAGGGGCGGGGGCCGGGAGCCCTACCCGCTGCTTGAAGTAGACCCTCTCCTCCAGAGTCAGTGTGTCGGCCTTGGCGATGACCGGAACGATGTTGACCACTTTGCTTAGGCGCTTCATAAACTCGATGTCCAGGGGCCTGAGGCTGGAATGCAACAACGTGGATGAGAGTGTGGCCGGTGGAGCGGGGACAGGAGCAGGGGTCCCCCGCCTCGGGCCAGATGGAGCTCAGGGAGCACCCAGCCAGCCTGGTCCCCCGCTCTCCACGGCCAGGGTGGGCGGCAGAGCGAGGCAGGGTCCCCCGCAGGGGCGCCGCCCCCCGCCTGGCCCCAGCACACAGCCCCACACGGGCACGTACGAGTGTCCGGTGGCCGGGATGAAATACAGGCAGCAGTGGACGCGTGTGTCAGGGATCCGCTTCTTCCTGTTGATGTTGACCTCCTCCTGCAGGTACTTCTCGTACTGGTCATTGATGAACTTCATGATGGGCTGCCAGCTGCGGGGGAGGCCGGTCAGCCGGCACGAGGCCCCTGCCCTGGCTCAGGGGAGCCCGACCCCCCGCCCAGGTCACCCATTCCCTGACCCCAGCGTACATGCCAGGGGCGGGACTCTCTGAGCAGGGGCCACGGTCGCACCTTAGACCTGACCCAGGGATGGGGGTGGCAGGGAGGGCAAGACCTCCAGGGTGACTCTGCGTTGGCCCAGAGCCGGGGAGCCCCTCGGGGCTCCAGCGCACCCCGTTCATGCGTTTCCGCCCTGAGGAGCGGCCCCCACGCGCTCACCAGTTCTCATTGTTGATGTGGTCCCCGAAGCCCGGCGTATCGATGACCGTCAGCTTCATGCGGACGCCCTTCTCCTCGATATCTGCGGGGACCACAGTGCCCGCCGAGCTCGGGGGGAGGCCCAGGGCCCTGACACTCCCCGTGGGCTGGGCCCCGTCTGGTACAAGGGGCCCCTGGCTGCCTGGCATCCCCGCCCACAAGGCCCACTTGGGCTGCAGCAGAGTGACCGGGCAATGACACCCCAGGTGACGCCAGGAATGCGAGGGTCTCCAACGCAGAAGTCCAGCGGGGGCCAGCGGCACAGATGCCGGGCGGCCCCGCCCGTGACTTCTGGGGGAAAACGCAGTTGTCTCTGAGCGCGGGGGTCCTGCAGAGCTGGCCCCTCACCCGTGACCCACAGGTAACATGCCCAGCGGCATGGCCGCGAGTCCCCGGCTCAGGGGCGGGGCCCCGGGCTGGCGGCCCTGGCCGGCGCTCACCGTGTGTGATGGACTTGATCTCGATGGTCTTGGGGATGCGCTCCTCCGCCGTGGGCTGCTGCACCGACTTCCGGCTGATTTTGGATTTGAAGAGGGTGTTGATCAAGGTGGACTTCCCCAAGCCGCTCTGCCCTGGGGAGAGAACGGGCCATTGGCAGGGGTGGGCGGGGCTGCAGTCAGGGGTCACAGCCCTGTGACTCAGCAATGTCAGGGCACCCCCCCACCCAGCACCCCTCACGGGGGCCCTGGGTCCGGGAGAGCAGGCAGCGGTCAAGCTCCCACAGTGCATAGCTCCAGCCCTTGCCTTCTGACCACAGGGGCCCAGCTGCCCTGGGCAGGCCCCAGGGCTCCCTGCTGAGGGGCCGAGATGCTGTGGGGGGGGGGGGACCAGCTCCTCAAGGGCTCAAAGGAGAAGCCCCGCCCAGAGCCCCAGCCGGCACCACGCGCCCAGGCCCGCCCGCCCGACTGCACACGGGAGCCCCGCTCACCAACATGTTTCTAAAAATTGCGTTACACTGATTTTCCAACTCTGATAAGCTCTGCAGGAAACGTGTGTGCTCCCAGGGGACAGGGGGCTGGCGTCGGGGATCCCGGCCCGGCTGCCGAGCGGCCTGGGACTGGCCCTCCCCCTCCCCCCACTCCGCCCCCTCGGCCCGCCGGTTTGTGTCCCGGCCAGGCTCAGGCCAGGAGCTGCGTCCAGCATGCCAGCCCCAGCCCGACGTCTGGAGGATGCCAGCAGCTGGTTTCCAAGTTTATCCCAATGTTACTGTTATTTTTATCACCATCGCTGTTATCGCCTGAGCCACCCACCAGCACCCCACTCTCCTGGGGCCGCCCGGGAGGCTCCAGCCAGGCCTGCTGGGTGCGGGGGTCAGCCCCGCACAGGTCTGGAAGGCCAGGGCTCGCGTGGTGGCAGGGGGTCGCTTTGACAGACGCCGACGGGGGCGGCCGCTGGGCAGAGAGCCGTGGCTTCCGAGCACCTGCCCGGCCAGCACCGCCCACCCCGAGCAACCCCGGGGACTCTGAGGGGACGCACAGCGGCTCCCCTGCGGAGCTGGGACCCTCAGGCGGGCACAGGGACATGTACCCAGTGCCACCTGCAACGCGCCCTGCAGGCCGGGTCCGTCACCCCGCTACGGGACCGAAGACTGGGCCGGGGCGGCCGAGTGGCCCCTGGGACGCAGGACTCACCGACCACCATGATGTTGAACTCGAAGCCCTGCTTCATGGCCTTCCTGCGCATCTGCTCCAGGATGGAGTCGATCCCCACGTAGCCGAAGTCCGCAGGGGCCTTCTCATTCCGCGGGGCGGGGGCCTGCTTGAGCCCGGCGTCCCTGGGGGTGTCGGCCATGTCGCCCGCGCAGCCAGGAGCTGCCTCGGTGGCTGCGGAGGAAACAGAGGCGTCAGGGGCGGCAGGGGTCCCCCACAAGCACCCGCCGAGAAGCTACATCCTCAGGTGGCTCCCACCCTCGACCTCATTTCTCAGAGGGGGAAACTGAGGCTCGGCTGGCTGCCCACAGGAACCCCAAGGAACCCCTGGAGCTGAAGCCCCTCACCACACGGCCCAGCCCGCAGAGCGCCACCCCGGACCCTCAGACCTCTCTCCAGAGCAGAGCTGACACCAACCCCCCACGTCCCCCCACGTCCCCCCCACCTGAGCCTCACCCTGAGAACTGCTCATGGGGGGCAGTGCCGGGGTCCCCGGGGGGCCTCTCCGCCTCCCTCCCCTGCCTCACACAGTCCCCACTTCCTGCTGCAGCCTGAAGGCCTCGGGCCCGCAGAGCAAACAGCCTGGGCCGGGACGGAGGCGGTGGGGGGGCAGCCTCGTGAAAATGGAGGCGAGGGACCAGCGCCTGTCCACCCTGCCTCCCTGGGTGAGGTGTGTTCAGTCCGCCGGCAGCCCCAGGGCGGGCGCGAGTGCCCGGCGGCCGTTCCGGGGTGAGCAGGGTGAGCGGGGTGAGCGGCTCCCAGGCACAGCCCGCCCTCACCCGGCCCAGGTGGCCGCTTCCGCTGCCGGCCCCACCGCGTGGGCCAGGAGGCCCTGCTCTCAGGTCGGCGGGCGGGCAGACAGGCGGAGCCGAGCTTCTCAAACTCAGGCTTCCCACGCGGCCTTCCTTTCTACAGCCCCTCCCCCCGGCGGCCCTGGAGCCCACGTGCCCAGGTCAGAGGCTGGGGGGGCTCAGATGATGCCCCCTGGGGACCTGAGGTGCCCGCCCCCTGCCTGTCCCGCCTCCCAGGGGTGACCCCAGGTCTCTCTCTCGCCGCACCCTGAGCTCAGGGTGACCACGCAGCGTGTCCTGACACCCTTGGGAGGGGCTGGCTGGTTCCCCGGGCATCAGCCCCCAACGGAGCCCCCCGGACCACCCACTCCTGCCCCCGCGCCAGGAGGCCCAGGGCATGGGGTGCCAGGCCAGAGGGTCAGCGACGAGCTTTCAGTAAACCGCGTTTCCACTTCCTGGAGAAACCACCACCTCTATCCCCCAACATGCCCTCAGCATCCCAGGGGCTCCCCCGCCACCGAAGCCCCACCACTGCCCGCCATCAGCCACAAGAGCTGAGGTCGGGGGTCAGGACTGGGGTGAGAGCAGGGGGACAGGAAGACCGGCCGACCCGCTCCAGACACCGGGCCCGTCGCCCACGGCCGTTCCACAGAGCCTCCCACGCCAGGGGACTGAGGGCCGAGGCAACAATGTAACGCACCTAAGGGAGCCAGGGAGCCCCCGGTGTGCCCACTGCCACCCAGGACCCAGGAGGGGGACAGTGACTGCCGCCGCCGGTGGGGCCTCCTCCCCACGCGACTGGCCTGGAAGGCCTTTGCCTCCGCCCCCTCCTCACGAACCCTCCCTGGGCCTGCTTCTCTCGATAAACAAAGACAAGAGCTGCACCGGGCCCCACATGTGGCTTTGGGGCTGCTTCCTGGACACAGACACAGCCGTCTTCGGGGCACGGCCCCGCCCCGCCCACGGGACTGAAAATTGCTTCCATCTGTCTGCGGGTTGAGAGGCGTTCCCCACCCCCCACCCCCACACATCCCTCCATCCATCAGCCCCTCCCCAGCAGGACCGGGGGAGACCCCGAGCCCCCCTTGCTTCCCTGCTTCCCTGCACGCCCCAGGAGCAGCCGCAGCAGAAACCCGAACCAAAGCAAACATCCTGCCCACCAGGCCCTGCTTGAGGAGTGATAACAAAAGCCCAGCAAAGCCCCGTCCTTCCGCCAGGCGGCTGCTCCTGCCTGCGCCGGGAGCCCTGGTGGGCGCCGGCCCCAACAGTCGGCAGGCACCGCGACTCAGGCAGCCATGGGCAGGCTGTGGGGCCCCCACGCGGGACAGCGGAGGCCCCACGGGCACAGTCACCCAGTCACTCCTCCTCATGGGAAGCCCCCAGCGCCCGGTCGCACCAGCTGGAAGGAACAGGCACGCGGAGCTGCCATCGACAGCGTCCCTTCCACTGCGGACGGAAAGCTGTCGGCCTCCCTGTTCACGGTGGAGCCACGTGTGCCTTTTAAAAGACTGTGCTAGAATCCACCTAACGTCAAACTCACCATCTCAGTGAAGCGCCCAGCTCGGCGGCCTCCGGCGCACTCACGTGGTTCCGCCACCGTCCCTGCCACCGTCCCCGCCAGCCTCTCCAGAGCTTTGCCAGGGTCCCAACCGGAACCTCTGCACCCCCCCCCCCACTGACACCTCCCGCCCCGTGGACTCTCTTCTGCTTTGTCTCTGCATTTGGTTGCTGTAAGTACCTGATCTGAGTGGAATCGTATGTGTTTGTCCTTTTATGTCCCATTACTTCACTGAGCTCCTGTTTTTGAGGTTCGCCCGTGTGGGTGCCAGAGTTTCCTCCCCTCGGAAGGCTGCATAATATTCCAGCTCAGGGACAGGCCACAGGCCACATTTTGTTTATCCGCCACCTGCTGCGGCAGGGAATGCGGCTGCTACGAACACGGGTGTGCGCACATCACACTTCCAACTCTTTGGGGTGTCCCGCCTGCGTTCCGCTAGAGCCCAGTGGGCCCCCAGAAAGGCCGTGGTCCGGGCTGCCGCCCTCACCGTCCTCCCGCAGACAGAGCCGGCGCCGCGCCCTTGGTTCTGCGGCCCGTGGCCCGCCTGGGAAACCTGGGCCACGCGGTTCCCGCCCCACGCGCCCCCCTGCCGTCCTAGCCTGCAAGCCCCTGAGGCTCGCCCAGTGACACCCCCAACTCCTAGCCCGGGGAGTGGCACAAAGGAGCTACTCAGGAGTGGGTGAACGGGAAAACAGCACGTGTCAGATCCATATGGTGGACTGTCCCTCAGCCATAAAGAGCAGCGCGTCCCAACACGCGTCGCACCGTGGAAGCGCCTCGAAAACGTGACGTGAAGCGGGAGGGGCCGGCCACAAAAAACCACCCGGCGTGTGATTCCACTGGCACAAAATGCCCAGAGCAGGCAGATCCAGACGGACAGACAGACAGCAGGTCGGTGCCTGCCCGGGGCCGGGCGAGGGCCAGTGGCTGTGTAGTGCGCACAGGTCCCCTCTGCGGGTGACGGAACGGGGCTGGAGCCAGACGGGGGGCGGCCGCACGGCACCACGCGTGCACGGCATCGTCTAAGTGGGGGCTCCATGGGGGGCGGGAAGCACAGCTCAGGAGGCCGCAGGCTCGGGGAGGCCGAGGTCCAGCTGGCGGGGCTGGACTGAAAGGAACCCGCTGTGCTGCACGTGCCAGGGGCTTGGGGGACAGCTGACGCCCAGACGCCACACCCGGGCCTGAGGGCCTGGTGCCTGGGGCTGCCAGGAAGTGCCCCGCGAGAGCAGCGCTGTCCCCTCTCGGCAAGGGCGATCCTGGGGGTGGCGGGCCAGCCCGACAGCTGCTCTCTGCAGGTGCCCATTTGCGCCCCACAGGCTGGTGGCAGCTGGCGCTGCCCCGCCCTCCTCACGGGCGTGTGCCGGGGCCTTCTCTCAGGACTCGGGCAGGGGAGGGGTCCCACAGCAGGGAGAGAAGGGCAGGGGCAGAGCCCCCCACCCAACCCCAGCCAGCGACCTTGTTCTTCTGGTGCCTTCGCGGGGGCTGGAACTCACAGCCTGAGCCAGCGCCATCTGAGGATGTCTGTTCCAAGGGACACATTTCTGTTCCCACCCCAAGGCTTGCCAAGGATGACGGGATCGGATTGCCGTCTGTGGCTCGCAGGGCCCGGGGCTGTGGGATGCTTATCTGGCTGGGAGGCAGCCCCAGAAAGGAGCCAGCTAACAGGGCGGGGGGAGAGGCGCCCCTCAGGAAGCTCACACTCCGTCACAAGCCCCGGGGCGGCCGCGGAGAGGCCTGGCACAGCAGGCTTGCAAGGCGCAACGGGAGGCCCAGAGCCGGGCCACCCTCCTCTGCCCGCCCTGCCCCTGTCTGTCGGCGTCCCAGCAACACCCCCCGGGTCCCATCCTCACCGACTCCAGCCTCACACGGACGCCCCCGTCCACACCGGCCTTGCTGAGTCGCCACCCACAGCAGCCAAGCAGAAGGCGAGGCCCACAAGCCCGCGGAGGCCACCAGGCCAACGCCAGGCCCACCCTGTGCTGCCAAGCAGATGCAGGAGGACCCACATGGTGGCCAGATGTCGGGGCTTCCAGAGCACATGGCCACCAGGGACACCCCCGGCCCCACACCTCCAGGCCTGTCCCCGAGAAAGTGTACCCCCAGCCCGCATCTCCCCTCTCCCGCCTCGGGGTCCCCCTCAGGAACCACAGGGAAGGCCGTGGGGACCTCAAGTCTCTGCCAGTGTCTGAGCCCCGGAGCCAGGACATGCGGTCCCTCCAATGGCTGATGTTCCCGTCCCCTGCACCGGGGCTTCTCAAAGACGGGCAAGTAATGCTGGGGACAGAGGAGTCACCAGAGTGGCCCTTGGGCATCTGTAAGTCCAGTGGCCCAGGAGCCAGGCCAGCTTGCCCTCCCTGCGCTTGCTGAGCCTGCCCCCCCGCCCAACCCACGTCCCAGTGGCTCCACAATGACAGCTGAGAAATGGTGTGTGGGTTTTTTTTTCCTTTATACCATGTGTCCCCCAGCGTAAGATTCACGAAGCCAGACACCTCACCCACCACGCTCGCTCCGGGACCCTGTGCTTCCGGCAGGGCCTGGACACACGGGGAGTCCACAACGGAATGCTTGCCGAGGGCACAGAGGAGCGCACAACGGAACGCCGCTCCCCACGACGGCCGACGCTGACTGGGGCTCGGCTGTGCTGGGCGCTATTCTAGGCACGGGCTGTGGTCACAGAGCTGGAGTGCGGGAGAGTGGGGACAGGAACCCAGGCAGGGCTCCCCCGGGCGCTGCCGGGCGCTGGGCCCAGCCAGCTGGAAAGGGCTTGCACTGGGTCTGGCGCCCCGGTCCCATCAAGGGGAGTTAGCATCTTCAGCTCCATAACC